AGAATGTCTGTCTGACATTAAGTCCTGGATGAGAGCAAACTTTCTACAGCTGAATGTCACGAAACCAAGGTCATCCTGATTGGCTCGCACCAGCGCCTCAGCACCTCAGGCATTGGCAGCATCAGCATCCACGGTTGCACACTCCACCTCACCAAGCCAGTCAGGAACCTGAGCATCTTGTTTGACCCTCAACTGTCCTTTCTCCCCCACATCTGTGCCATGACCCGCTCTGCCTTCCCCCACCTCCACAACATTGCCCAACTCTGCCACTGCCTCACCCCTCAGGCTGCCGAAACCCTCATACATGTCTTCATTACATCTAGGCTCGACTATGCCAATGCCCTGCTTGTCAGCCTTCACAACTCTTCCTTCCACAAGCTGCAGATCATCCAGAACTCTGGGACGTCCCCCTGGAGTGAAAGGCACTATACAAATGTAATGTTGTTGCTGTTGTTGTTCAGATTACACCTGAAGGCCTTCCTCTTTGACCTACCTATGGTCACCTCCCCTCTCTCCCAGTCTTGGCATCAAGCCACTGTCACTGTTAAGCACTCCAAGATGCTACCCCACATGAAAGGAGATATAGTTGTTGAACCGACCTCACTGAAATATTACAGCTTCATTTATGTGCTAATAATCTCCTTTGCTTCCTATGTTCTATTTGCACTTGAGAGAAGGATTATATGACAGCAAGCAGGAAGTGTATAAAGTAACCCTGCCTTGCATTTTGCTAGAACCGGTAATTGCAGTCAGGATCACATTACCCACTCCACGATGAATTTAGATCAAAATAAAAATACAAGTTTAAAGGTTAAAATAGACGTTTAATTAAATTCATTTTCTCAAATAACGGGCTGTGACTTCTCCATTTTTTTCTATCTGTAATCATTTTCACTTGCTGATTTGGGAACAATTAAGCTGCTGCTGTTTTTTTTCTTTAATTAGAATAAATTCCACATTGCATAAATTGAATTTTCCATCAGGTTTCACAATGCCTGCATTTCCAGAGCTGCTATTACTAATGGGGAAGTAATACATAGGTTTTGTTTACCCACATAGTCAAAATTTAGCTTCTAATTGACTTGGATGTTGGTCCACTGCGATCTGCTTTGGCCTAAATTAATAATAATCCTATTTAATTCTCGTATTTAATGTATGTCATTAAGACATCTCAAAGTGCTCATGGGATATATTGTAAAGTGATGTGGCTGGGTATTTAGTCGGTGAATCCTTCTGCCACTGACTTGACTGCTGCTGGTTGTTTTCTAAATATTTTTTAAATGTTATGGTTCCATTGCAATAACAGAAAGACATAATTCGCATAACTGGGAAGCTTCCCAATTTGCCATAATTTAAACAGCAGTTGAGTATTACCAAACTTGTCGTTGTGGTAATACTCACGAGTGAAGTACACATTAAATTAGGGAACTTGCACTCATAGAAAGGGATCGAACACAGAGGCCACCTAGTACACTCTGCAAGACTTGGTGAGATACACATCACGGGTATACAAAAGGGGTGAGACACGACACACTTATGTGAACTATGTGAAGCCACTCTACACTGTTTTTCATAACTTTGTGAGTCTCCTCCACGCTCAGCACAATACGACCAAACCATTGACTGCAAGGCCAGTCTAGAGACAGGGGTTTTGGAAGTTGTTCCGATTGAGAGTCCTCGGGGTTCAGTTCCACAGAGCAGCGTTTTCCTTTTGTGGAGCAGAAAAGCAATTTATTGTGCGAGGCAAGTCTGCAGTACTCCAAGGCACTGTTGACCAATCTGCATGGCTCATCAAATAGGGACGTGATGGGGTGAGACACAATACAATTTACATTTATATAGCACCTTTCACAGCAGGAAATCCCAAACCACTTGACATTTCACGCTGTCCACTGAAGCTGAGGGGATAAGGAGGGGACTGAAAACACGGACACAGAGGTACTTTTTGAGGTGGACCTTGAAAGATGGGAGGGAACAAGTCGCAGGGAACTGGAAATGGAGTTCAAGGCAGTGGATGCCATAGCTGAAAGCCCGCTTGCCGATGGTGGGGCAGAGAGAGGGTGGGGCAAGGAGTAGGCCAGTGTCGGCCAAGAAAATGGAATAGCCACATTGGTATGCAGAGGTAGGTAGTGTGGGTTGAGACTGTGAGAGATTTAAACATGCGAATGAGGACCTTGAACTCGATGTGTTGGGGAATGGGAAGCCAGTGGAGCTGAATGAAGGTCGGGATGATGTTAAACATGTTAAAATGAATTTGCAGGCCTGTGCAGTGACAAAATGCGAGGATTCTGAAAGAATGATCAGTTCACAGATCTTCATCTCCTTCTTGTAACCCCGTTGACTCTTGTTCTTTTTATTCTGCTCCAAAGTTCACATTGACTGCACTAGGTGGCAGTCTAGTCCATAAGTTAGCAGCTAACAAAGTCGCTACAGTACTTATTAAGTGATATTTCACTCCAGGATTTTTTTTTCAGATTGGAAATTCTCCTAAACCATCAGCTCAAACACATCCTTCCAGATCTACCCAATGGATTCCATTGATAAACAAAAGCAATTATAGCAATGGTTTACCAGAGTTCTTTTCAAATGAACATCACCAAATTGTGTTTATATCGCATTTTCACATTGGGAAGTTGGCCCAAGGGGCTGGGCAGTCAAGGGTTTGCACCTGAGCTGGGGATTGGATCTGAGAGGTGAAGAGCAAGGAGATAAGATGGGAGGATGACCGAACGGCCTGTCAAAAATGACGTCTTGAGACGCTCCCTCTTGACAAATGATATTCTGTCCATCTGCAACCTCTGCCTCCTCGTCTTCCTTGACCACTGCTGCCTTTGATTCAATTGACCACTCTATCCTCCTCCACCGCCTCTCCTCTCACCTCAACTTTCCAGGCTCTGTCCTTGAATGGTTCAGATCCTCCCTCTCACACTGTCTCCACTTCAGCTACACAAACGGTTTCTCCTCTAGCCAATTGCGTCTTGTGCTGCGTTCCTCAGGGATCTGTCCTTGGTCCCCTCCTTCCATATGTATGCAGATGACACCCAACTCTCTTTGCCTCCACTCTTGACTCCAGGACCACTGCTGTCCTGACAGAATGTCTGTCAGACATTAAGTCCTGGATGAGAGCTAACTTGCTTCAGTTGAAAGTCAGCAAGGCTGAGGCTCTCCTGATTGGTTCCCGTTTGCGCCTCCGCACCTCAGGCGCTGACAGCATCACTATCCAAGGATGCGCACTCCACCTTACTAAGCCAGAACCCTGGGATCTTGTTTGACCCTCAACTATGTTGTGGACTTTGGAAAAAGCTGAACGGGTCAAGGCGCGGATGTGGGGTTTAAAAGACAATTGAGAGTCGCACAAGACACCGTGAGATGGAGTGTGCATCTGTGAAGATTGATGCTGTCAACACCTGAGGTGAAAAGGCACTGATGGGAGTTAATTAGAAGAGCTTCTGTCTTTTTGGCATTCAACTGGAGAAAGTTAACTTTCATTCAGGACTTGACAGGCAATATGTCAGGACAGCAGTGGTCTTGGAATCAAGGGCAGAGCAAGAGATGTTTGAATACATGTGGAAGCTAATCCCAAGCACGTGGATGACATTACCAAGTGGGAGCATGTAAAGATTAAATAGAGGACTGAGGATGGAGCCCTGAGATTTGTCGCATATGACAGTGCTGCGCTGGAGGAGAAGCCTTTGACAGATATTAAGTGGAGACGATGGGAGAGGTAAGAATTAAACCATTTGAAGGTTGAGCTGAGATTCCCCAGCTCCAGTCCAAATCCCTAACTGTCATGCCCCTTGGGACATCCTACCAACATTAAAAGCGCTATACAAATGTAATTTGTTGTTGTTGAGAGAAAAGGTGGTGGAAAAGAATGGTCAACAGTATCAAAGGCGGCAGAGAGGTCAAAAAGGACCAGGAGGCAGAGAGAGCCTGGTCACAGGTAGAAAGAATGTCATTTGTGACATTGGCTAAAGCAGTTCTCGGTACTCCGGGCAACTCGGAATCCAGATTGGAGAGGTTCATCCAAAGAGTTCTGGGAAAGGAAAGAGCAAAGCTGGAGAGCAACAACTCGTTCCACTACCTTGGAGAGGAAAAGGAGGTTGGAGATGGAATGGTAATTAAGGATAACAACATTCATTATTTTCTGAAACATCTTCATATTCTTGATATGGTTCAATACAAGACGCGCAGTATGAATATAAGACTTCAGTGTGACACAACCACCCTGCTTCCCACACCACAGTTAAATAGCCGAATGCTGCTCACTATCTGGGTACACACGAGGAGACACAGGTAATGTACTGGAAATAAACAAACATCCTTCAAACTGTAGGACAGCAGGGATAAGTGTCTTCAAGAGATGAAATGCAGCTGTTTGACTACAAAATATAGTGACTATACATTACGGTAAATCCTATGGAAGCACTTTGAGACGTCTTTCCAGCGTGAAAGAACGCTCTATCAAATGCAAGTATAATTCTTTATTTTATCAGTCTGAACTGGATTGAAACTATATCTAAAGTGTGCAGTCTAAATCTTGTTGTTGTTATTGTAAACGATATCTGAGTGCTACCATAATAAAATTAAAATAATTCTTGCATTTGATACAGCGTCTTATCATATCATCGGGACCCCTCAAAGCACTTTGTGAATATACTGTAAAGTGATTTGATAGTGTATTTGTTGGCATAACATGGCAAGCCAGTTGCGCACAGTCATGTTCCACAAACAGCCATGGACTGAGTGATCAATTTTATTTGGGGATTGTTGGCCCAGGACACTAGGAGAAACTCTTCCCTTTTTGAATAGAGGAATGGCATCTTTAATGATTGCCTGAACAGACCTCAGTCCGAAGGAATATCTCGTCCGAAAGAAATAACATAAAGCCTTATCCTATCTCCTAATTATGCCAGGTTAAGAACGTTTGGTTTTGCAAACCAAAACTCAAAAATAAAAACCTTTAGAGTTTTACTTCTCATGAAAACCAAACACGCAGGTTTGTTTAAATTGTAGATTTATTTTAAACAAAATTGTATTAACATATCTGCTCGTGTATCCTTTGTAATATAATTTTTTTTGTTTCCTGGTGATAACATCGACACAGTCATGCTGTTGAGCAGCAGAAGACATGAAGAGAGAAATTCAAGTGTGACAACAGGCCAGCTGACAAAAAAACAGTCCTTGAACAAACCATAGCCAGGCAGTTTTCACACTGAGTAATCCCATCACTCATCAACTTCTTGAAGACGACAAGGAAAATAAAACCTTTTAAATGCTTTTCCAGATAAAGACTGCTCGGGAACTTTGTGTTGACTCTCATCATTATACAACATTCAAACTATTTACAATAATTTCTGAAATCAGCTGTTCTCTCAGAGAAGATTAGTAAATATCAGTGACTAGGTCACATTAATGAGTTTGCAACTCCTAGGAGTTAGTCTTTAATGTCTACAAATCTCTATGACAGTCGCTTTTTTTTGGAAAAAAAGCCATGATTTTAGCAAGACCACATTTATATCATGAACTACAATCAATCATTCTTAATACTTATGCTTCTCTGTTTTCTAACGAATGCTCGATGGTTTAAGAAAAATCTGCCTCTCCACGCGATACACTAAACCATTGTCTTACAGAAATGATATGCTCTAGCAAAACTGATACTAATCCATTATTTAGTTCTTAAAACGGTTAAATCAGTAACAACAGAACAAAGTGATGATTTCTTTTTAAAAAAAACTCACAAAGAATGGCTGCTCATGTCAGTGTGTGTAACTGGGGAGGAGCGGGGTAAAGTGAGACGGGGAGAAAGATTAGGAACGGGGACGAGATCTCACAAAACCTGTCCAGTCTCTGTTGAAAAGTAAGATGCTTTGAGCTCCTAAGGCTCAAGGTCAGTGAAAATAATAGTTTCGCTCCTGGTCATAGAGGTGTATCATAGCAATCTGGGAGCTGCTCCAGCTGATACTGTCTCTGCTGCTGCTCCTGATGCTGTTTCATTATCTCCTTCACTTCCTCCTCTAGTTCTGGTGGGATTATGAACTGGTCGTCAGGGTCCGGCTGGGCGGGGGCAGCGAAGTAGCCTCCGCCCTTCTTCAGGGGGGGATCTGCCGCCACCTCGATTAAATTGTGGCTCTTCTCTGGTGGGGCAACAGATCCGTTTCCCCGCCTGCGTCCGATGGTTCCCGTGGCAGAGGCCTCCGCTTGCTGGCTGTCGCTTTCCTCGTGGGCCTTCAGCACCGCCTTCTCCGAGCTCTCGTCCTCGTTGGCGCTGATGACGATCCCCTCGTCGCAGGTTTCGGAGGCCGAGTGCAGCACCATCTTCTCCGTCTGCTTGGCCCGGGTGCAGTGGATGTCGGCCTCCACCTCCACTCGGCTCCCGTTGGAAAAGACGCCCTCGATGGGCTCCTCATCCTCGCTGTCCAGCCCGTTGTCCGAGAAGGCGCTAGAGAAAGTGGCGCTGGAGAGCTGGCGCTGGAAGGAGTTGGTCAGGCACACGGGGTGCAGCATGCAGCGCTGCTCGCCGTGAAACACCGATCCCCCCTCAGCCAGCGTCACCTGGGGGGGCTCGTCGGAGGCCGTGGAGCCCACTTCGCTGCTCATTTCCGAGGTGGAGATTTCACTGCTGATCTCCGAGGCCACCCCGCTGCTGGAAGATGGCATCCCCAGAGTATCCGTGGGCCGGTCCTTTATCACCTCGCTCACTGAAGGAGGGAAAATGCCTGGACTTGGAGGCGGGACACCATTCATATCGCAAAGGCAAAAGCAGTCTTCGCTGACATTGAGCTGCACCACCACCGCACTGATGCTGTCGTTGCAGCCGTAGCTCTGGGCCAGACTACACAGCTTCTTGGCAGCAGCCAGAGCGTCAGGCACATTCCTCACGGACTCCACAGCTTCCACATAGGAGATACTGTCCCACAGACCCTTGCTGCCCAGGATGAAGAATTCGTCTTGCGGCGTGAGGGTGACGGACTGAACGTGAGGCCGAGGAACAACGTAGGGATGGAGGAACGTGTAGCCCAAGATCCTCGTGGAATCTGTCACCCCATTGACTTTATTGTCCTGTAACACACACAATCAAACAGGACTTTTAGAAGAACTTCGATTTTTAACAGTGCCTGGTACGATGAGGCATCTCATTGCACCCTTCCTTACAGCAGACGGTTTGGTTGAGGAAGGCCCTCCAGCCCATTTGGTCTCATCCATCCAGAACACCCTCCCAACAGCCCTCCCCATCAAAACATCAGTCCAGCCTCCTAGCCTCAATAACAACAAGTGGCAAGTCAAGTGTGAAAATTTCCTAGATTCATTCCTGAAATGAAATACTCTTGTATGAAAACACAGAAATCAGCTCGGTTATACCTGCTGTATCTTTCATCCTTTAATTTGTACACACAGGAGGCACATTTTAAAATCTAGTCACATGAGAGTTATTACAAGATGTGCCCATAAGGAATATATGATCTAATAGTTAACCCATAGCATTAAAGGATGTCAAATAAATTCATTAGAAATTTGGCCATTTGGCAATTGGTCCATAGTACAAATTAATTTCATGGGGCAACAATTACTGGTTATTTTACCTCAGTGACCATGGCTTTGTGACGTTTAATCCGCTGCAGTTCTTCTTCACAGCGCACAGTATACAGCTTTGAAAGAGGCAGGGGTTTGCCATCTCTGCACAGGATAGCTTGGCACTTCCCAACATTGGCTGCGGTCAGTGTGAAACAACCAGAGGGATCCATGGGATCATGTTTAATGTGGCAAAGCACAGCGGAGCCGCCCAGCTTCTGTCCAGCAGTTCCAAGTTTCCTAAAAAGATTTACAAAAAGAAAATTAGTGTCAGAATACCTAAACGGCAAAGAGAGCGGTCAGTGAATGGTTAAGGGTTGGAAATAATCTGTTTTTAAATAATAAATACAAGATATAATACACAACAAGATCCACAGATATAGGTGCAGATTTTAAAACCGTGGTCTTTCTTCGTGAAATATCTGGCTTCAGTGGTTTCTAGTCAAGGCCAATCCACCCATTCTTAGCCTGTAAGAGTATTTTATCATAAAATTTAACATTGTGCAACATTGTTTAAAATTCTTAAACTAAGCTTTAATTTTGCTCACAAAATATACAGTCAATTCACTTTACAGTATATTCCGTAAAGCGCTTTGAGACTTCTGAACGACGTGATAAGGCCCAAACGCAAGGATTATTATTAATTTGGAAGTCAGTTTTCTGCAGTTCTTGAACAGAACCGGCGTACAATTAACTCTAAATTTAAGAATTCTCTAGAATTCTGCACAATCTTAAAAATTGTAAGACTGTCTTACAGGCTAAGGCTAAGATAGAATTTCAGAGATCAGGAGTCTGAATGCAAACCATCTGTGATGTTCTACGTTACCACAAGGTGTTTCGCTGCATCTTTGACACTTAAATTTAGTGTTAATTTGTGAATCGTTTCTCTTTAAAAACTGCAAGAAGTCTCAGAGAGTTAAAGAATTCTTTAATTTGACTTTGAAATTGAAGTTTAATTTAATAATTCAACAATATTGCACAATGTTACGTTCTGACAAATCAACATCCACTGGAATTGGCAAATCTCATATCTGGCTTTTAACACTCGGGGGAATTTCCAGGATTCACAAACATTGAATCCTGCAGGTATCCAGAGCTGATTTTCACTCCCACATGCCAGAGGTCCACTCAAACAGCAATCTCCTGCTGGGAGCTTCCTTTAGCTGAATCCAACATTTCAGAAGTCAGTTACGAGATTGGTATCCGAGCAGAGTTCTGGGCGACTGTGAAACATCGATACCTTCCGGATTTGATATTTGCAGGTACTTTTATACAATACCCACTATTCACCTACATAGTTTAATATCTTCCATTAACAACATGGATAACAGTGAAAGGTGAACAGCAATTAACATCTGCTTGTTGGTTCTTCTCCGAACAAACACAAATCCTGGAAACTGTTATTTCATTATGGCAGAGAAAGACTCCTGAAGTCTTTACCGGGTCAACAACGACAAGATTACATTTGTATAGTTGGGCGTTGGGCGGATGTCCCAAGGCCCTGGACAGTGCACAGCATTTCAGACCCGAGCTAGGGTCAGGGGGGGGAAAAAAGAGGGAAGGGGAAGGGGTATGGCCAATGGCATGGTCGGTCGAAGAGGAGGGTCTTGAGGCGGGACTTGAAGGAGGCTAAGGAAGGGGCGAGGCGGAGTGATTGGGGCATGGAATTCCAGAGGTTGGGGGCAGAGTGGCTGAAGGCTCTCCCGCCAATGGTGGGGCGGGTGGGTCGGGGGACATGGAGCAGGCCAGAACCGGCTAAGCGGAAAGAACGGGCGGGTTGGTAGGGGATTAGGAGGTCGCAGAGGTAGGGTGCGGCGAGGCCATGGAGGGCTTTGTATGTGAGGACCAGGATCTTGAACTGGATCCTCTGAAGGATAGGGAGCCAGTGGAGTCGGGCGAGAGTGGGGGAGATGGGGTCACGGATTGTAGGTTTTGATTGTACAATCGAATGATTGTAGCTCAACTCAAATACAACTGCAGATGTCCTGTGCATTACATGAGCTTGGAACTGGAATAAGCTGGAATAGCACAGGGCAAATTGAAAGGTCTAAGTTTGTCAAATGTTCCTTCGTATTCTCGTTTTAGCTCAAATGTACACAGGCATTTTCATTATTGAAGCTGCGCTGAAGGATCCCAAGGTTTTATGCTAGATATTAAAAATTGCCATGGTGCTGTTGACCAATCTGAAACTTCATTTGGTGAAGTCAAAATACCCTGGGAAAGCTGCCAGGAACATGCACTCAATCAGAGTAACAATTGACTAGCCAACTTTCACTACTCAGAGATTCAAGTGCCTGAGCATATAAAATATTTTTTTCCTTCTTTGAGTGCACACTTAGAACTTGCTTCAATTGCTGCCTTTACTTTTTTTTAAAAAACATGAATAAAGAATGGAATGAGCTGTCCAGATAGCTGCTGGGATGTCGTAGCGAGGAGTTACAGACAGGTACAAAATCACTTAGCGGGTGAGTTGGAAGGGGTTTAGTAGGTCGCAGAAGTAGGGTGAGGCAAGATCGTGGATGAATTTAAAAGTAAGGACAAGGATCTTGAACTCAATCCTCTGGAGAATGGGGAGCCAGTGAGGGTAGGGTTGATAGTGAGCTGGGTGAAGGTAATAATAATAATAATAATCCTTGCATTTGATATAGCGCTTTTCACGTCGGGAGGACATTCCAAAGCGCTTCACAGAACATGCTGTAAAATGAATTGACTGTATATTTGTGGGCGAACGTGGCAGCCAATTGCACACAGCAATGTCCCACAAACAGTCGTAGATTGAAAATGACCAATTTATTATTGTTTTTGGTTTTGGAGGGATTATTATTAGGTGTGTGGAGTAAGGAAACTTGCCCAAGGTTTCGCCCTGTCTGGAATTGAACTCAGGTCTCTCGCTTGCAAAGCGAGTGCTCTAACCACTGAGCTACAGGACTCCACAAGGTTGATAAAGTAAGGTTGATAGTGAGCTGAGTGAGGGTAAGATTGATAGTGAGCTGGGTGAGGGTAAGGTTGATAGTGAGCTGGGTGAGGGTAGGGTTGATAGTGAGCTGGGTGAGGGTAGGGTTGATAGTGAGCTGGGTGAGGGTAGGGTTGATAGTGAGCTGGGTGAGGGTAGGGTTGATAGGCTCACAAAGCCTGGTATAGGGGAGGACAAAAGCTGCAGAGTTCTGAATAATTTGTATCTTGTGGAGGGAAGTGTTGGGAAGCCCGGCGAGCAGCAGTTGGCATAGTCATAGTCATAATAAAAGCAAGAATGAGGCTCTCAGGGCCTGAGGGGAGAGGTAATGGTGGAGAAGGGCAATGTTTCGGAGATTACAGTTGATTACTCAATTACAGTTGAGTGTCGTTCAAGACACTGAGTTTGTGCACTTGCTCCACGAGGCGGAGTGTGGATTTATCTCTGTAGATTGATGCTGTTAGCACCTGAGGTGAGAAGGCGCTGATGCGAGCCGGGCAGACTGTTGACATTCAACTAGAAAAAGGCAGAGGGAGACTGGTCACAGACGGAGAGAATGTCATTTTGTAACTCTGACCAGGGTAGTCTCTGTACAATGGTCAGCACAGAATCCAGATCGGAGGGGTTCATGCAGGGAGACAAAAGAGCGAAGCTGGGAAGCAACAACTTGTTCCAGTACCTTACGGAGGAAAGAGGGGTTGGAGATGGGATGGTACTTAGGGAACAGGGAATGGGTTGAGCGCTTTTTGTGCGCTCAGACATGTGTCATCATGGTGCTGACGTGACATGACACACGCTGAGTGTACAGGGGTGACCAGATCTCAAGTGCGACTCACATTGCTAAAGGCAGCCAGTTTTCTGTAGTGATCATAATAATAATAATCCTTGGATTTGATATATAGCGCCTTTCACATCGTCGAGACATCTCAGAGCACTTCACAGGATATAGAAACATAGAAACAGGCATAGGCTATTCAGCCCCTCGAGCCTGTTCCGCCATTTGATAAGATCATGGCTGATATGCAACTCAACTCTAGTTACCCGCCTTTGCCCCATATCCCTTAATATCCTGACCTAACAAATATCTATCCACCTCAGTCTTGAAGATGTGAATGGATCCAGCACCCACAACATTTTGGGGGAGAGAATTCCAGATTTTCACTACCTTTTGGGTGAAAAACTGCCTCCTAATTTCACTCATAAATGGCCTAGCTATAATTTTAAGATTATGCCCTCTTGTTCTGGAATCCCCACCAGAGGAAATAGTTTACCTGTATCTATCCTATACTGTAAAGAGGCTTGACTGTTTATTTTATGGGCCAAACGCAGCAGCCAATTGTGCACAGCAGTGTCCCACAAACAGCCATGGAGTGAGTGACCGATTTTATTTGGGGGATTGTTGGCCAGGAAACCAGGAGGGAGAAAGACGGGCTAGGATTATTGGGCACCTCGCAACCTCCGCCTTCTAATACATCATCAGTCAAAGTAATTGCAAGGCCATGGCTACCACCAGGGCAAGTGCACTGCGTGCTAATTTCTTTACGAGTTTGCTCACCTCTGCATGACCAGGAAGGTGTTGGTCATGTATTCCTCGTCGGTCTTTGACTTCTGCAATTCCTCTGCCAACACGTCGCTCATGGTGCACTGCAGGAGGTAGGGCACCTCCACATTCCGATCACCGTCAAATACTCCGTACAAAGCCTCTCTGTTGTCACAGAAGTTATTCACCGATAAGGCGGCTACACACAACCTGGAATTAAAATTAATTATTCAGTCATTTAAAAAAAATCATAGCTATTATCAAAAGAACGTACATTTATTTTGGTGTTTGATTTAGTAAATACATAAGAGTTTTAAACCATAGCCCCCACCCCCCCGCTGAATATTACACAATTTAGTTTAACAGAAACACATGCACTTTTTCAAACTGCACTCCACTGTTACAACTTTACTGAACAAACTGCTTGTCAGTATTTATACTCCACAAGAGTCACCATCCACTCCTTACTCCCTCCCATACCCTTCTATTCTTCTCTCCCGCATGCATATATCTATCTTCCTATTGAATGCATCTACACTATCTACTCCAACCACTGCTTCAGGCAGTGAGTTCCACAATCTCACTATCCTCTGCCGGAAAGTAGCTCCTCCTATATTCGCTTTTAGATCCCTTTGTTGTTATCTATACTTGTGTCCCTGGTTATGACCTCCCCAATGCAGCTTTAGCAAATTTTAGGAAAGGCTGTGTTTGGCTCCATGTTTGATTACACTTTCAATTTCTTCAAAGCAGCCGACTATTAAAAGTAGTGAAACAGTAAAGAGATACAGGCAGGAATGGATCATTAGTCCACCTGGCCTTTCCCTTTCCATCCGCTGAAGATGCCGCCACACATCAATTTCACCATCTAATTACACTGAATTATCTTAGTATTCAAAAACCTGTCTGGTGTTGTTACGGGGGTCCATACAGTCACTCCAGTCTTCCTCACCCTGAACCCACCTCACCTCAGCCCACCTCACCCTGGCCCACAGCACTGTTCCTGTTTTTTTTGCAGTCGCTGAGGCCCTGCGCTGTGACTCAAATAATTCCATTAGGTTTGAAGCAGTCCATTTAGAAATGACTGTGGTGAACAAAAATCTATTCTGCAGCTTGAATTCCTTTGAATATTCCTTTTCTGAAGCGACTCTCGTTTCTCCTTTTCAATCCCTCTGTAAACTTGTTTCAGTGGAGGATAAAGAAGCCTTTCAATTTCCAAGGATCCATTAAAGCACTAGCTCTTTACTTCTGGAGACACAGGAATCTCATATAGATGTAACGTGTCAGTTATTTCTGCATCCCAGCAACCGCAGAAACAAAGGGAACAATCTTCCACCAGCTCATGACAAACAAAATGTGACTTTCCAGTATTCAATGTACAAATATCTCCAGCCAATTTTCACGTGAGAAATTCTGACGAGACAGAAGATGTGCGTTTTAATTCCTTAAACGCAACATACCTGTTTTTCACTCCTGAGGCTTCTGTGTATCCATGACTCCACACAGCTGGGGCACCAGACGCCTCACCAACTGCAAAGGATGTGGCCGACTGGTCTATCTTGAAGCAACGGATGTTACTGGGATAAAAACAAAGAGAAATTAATTATGTTAAATAAATAATCCTTACATTTGACATAGCGCCTTGCCATGTCGTTGAGATGTCTCAAAGCTCTTCACAGAACACAGTGTAAAGTGAATTGACGGTATATGTTGTGGGCGAATTACTGCCTAAGGTCCTTCAGCCAAGGTTTCATTATTCATGCTTCATCCTTGGTAATGAGCGTCAGGCAGGCTGTTCGACACTAGGGGACGCCACAGCCGAGGACAAACAATGTCCTCAACCAACATCTACACGCACACACTGCTCTATCACTGGATGGAGATTAGGAACAGGAATCAGAAGGAAGCTGCAGGAAGAGGGGAACCATGGCTGATTTTCCTCTCCTTAACCTGGGGTATTAAAGCCAATTATACCATCTCTCTACAGCTGCCCTGGCTGAGATCAGCTTACTCTGCACAGTGTAAAACCTCAGACGTTCCCCAACATGTAATGGGGTCTCTTAAGGGCAAAGTGCATTGGTGCAGGCAATATTAAAAACAGCCAAATATTCTGCATCATTATAACAAATGTTTGATTTATTTAGTGTCAGCCTGGCGCAGTGGTAGGATTCTCACCTCAGAGACAGAAGGCCAAGCCCCACATCAGGAATTTGATCTCATAGCCTAGGCTGACACTCCAATGCAGTTGGGAGCAGTAAACTGTCAGACATGCAGTTTGATGACATTAAACTAAGGTCCAAAGAGAAGGGAGTTTCTCCTGGTTTTCTGGCCAACAATGCCTCAGATGAAATTGGTCAGTCACCTCATGGCTGCTTATGGGGTATTGCTGTACACAACTTGGCTGTCGCTTTTGCCTACGAATACACAGCCACTACACTTTACACAAAGAAATGTTTTGGCAGAGCTATAATAATGCAAACAGTATTTTAATTATTCAGTAATATATTCATGGAAAGCTGTATGAGAGTCCTGTAGCTCAGTGGTTAGAGCACTCGCTTTGCAAGCGAGAGACCTGAGTTCAATTCCAGGCAGAGGGCGAAACCTTGGGCAAGTTTCCTTACTCCACACGCCTAATAATAATCCCTCCAAAATCAAAAACAATAATATAATTGGTCATTTTCAATCTACGACTGTTTGTGGGACATTGCTGTGCGCAATTGGCTGCCGCGTTGGCCCACAAATATACAGTCAATTCACTTTACAGTGTGTTCTGTGAAGCGCTTTGGAACGTCCTCCCGACGTGAAAAGCGCTATATCAAATGCAAGGATTATCATTATTATTATATTGAAGTGAACGATTTGATATTAATGCACACTTTTTTTGTTACAGAGTCAGGGGCATCAAATCATTCTGATTATTATGCATAATGCCACATAAACTGTTAACAGTGAAATACATTTCATTCTAGATGCTTGTCATATTTGCTAAGCACTTTTCCTTCAAAGATTGGTTGCATGTAACAAATGAACATTGTTATACAACAAGTCACAAAAAGAATTGCATTTTTAAAAAATCTATACGTTTTTATTTTATTTCCATAACACACAGGAACTGCTGCTAAACAGACAGCTTGTTCCTAAGTCTCCAACTATGCAGCTTGAGTCAGCGTTCAGGAGGTAACTCTTTCCCAAGAACTCTGTGCATTTCAATCAATACTAATTAAGTTTGCCAACCAAAACAAGTAATAATTGGTCATTCACTTTGTGGAATATTGCTGTGCACAAATTGGCTGCTGCGTTCGCCTATAAAATACACAATAACTGCACTTTAAAGTAAATCCTGTGAAGTGCTTTGAGAGATCCTGACGTGAAAGGTGGAATACCAAATGTAAGGATTATTATTTTAACAACAGGAAGTGAAGTGATACCAGGGATCGATTCCAATGAATGTTAAGATACTTCATTAAAATCCTTAAGATTTTCTGCAGCTGTTTTCTGAGGTTTATTTTGTGGGCGAAACATGGCAGCCAATTGCGCTCAGCAGTGTCCCACAAAAGCCGCATGGTTATCAAAAGCGTTATTATCAAAAACCTTCTGAGAATCAATGTGTACCACATCCATATCTTCATTATTATCAACATTATCTTCCTCAGTTCTCTCAGTTACTTCAAAGAACTCTTATTAGATTAATCAAAGTAAGAATCGCTGGTGAGTTCAAAGGCAACACTACCCTCAGGCTAAAGGAAGAGAACAAGATTTGGGCTAAAGCAGTGTTAAGTGGGAAATGCAATTGCTTACTTCAGCAGCTCCAGAGTTTTGTGATCCAGAACTAGCCTGGGGTTTCCAGTCAGGTCTAGTTCCTGTAGTTTCAGTGGCAGATTTTCGGGCAACGTGATCTCGTTCAGCTCATTACAGCTCAGGTCAACGCACTGTGGAAACAAGCAAACAGGCACTATGGATTGGGCTGGCTTCCAGCTCATCGGCATCGTGTGTCCATACTCAAGAGTTATGTAAGATCTGTTAGTGCTCCTTTCAGTTCAAGCTTTTGATTGATTTTACTTACTTTCTTTCCCTTCCCTGCAACCCCCCCGAATCCAGAACAGGGTTCTCAATATCGGGTTCCGAAATGCTTTCCTGGGTGAAGGACCCCACATAAATACAAGTTGTTGCTATCTAATATGCGCCGATTCCTTAATAGGATTCTTTAAGAAGAAAATGGGAGCTGCGTCATACCGGCCGATCTGCGGGGATCTTTAACCCAATGCAATCTGCTTTCGGAGCTCCCACTGCTTGGGTTAGCGTTAAAAGCTCCACTTTATTTCTTTAGTAAGAAATCCCATAGAGAAATGACCACCTATCACAGGGGCAGTGCCATCCTATCATGACCTTTCCATAGCTATCTTCTACACAACTACTCCAGTAGCAGCTGGACTGATAGTAAGTCCTGACCCCACAATATGCACTTTGCAACCAGAAGCGTGGCTTAGCCTGGGGAGGATTAGACAAAAGTCCTTTGCAAAATTAAAATAAACACAGAAATTAAAATAAAACACTTCTTGTTGGAAAAGATAGCAAAACAACCACCATCATAAATCTGACCTTACATTGAATTTCCCCCCCCACCCAAACAGCATTTCTTTGTTTAAACGGATATCCCATTCCAATGAAACATGACACGATTAATGGTTTTCCTGATTTATCAAAAAATAATGTTTTTTTTTAAACAACAGCTGGTTTTATTTCATTCGGAATATGCAAAGCTCTGTGTCTAATCCAATGTGCTGACCTACATCTGCATCAACTGAGGTTAATATTGCTGGATACAGAGATTATGGAGGAGTTTGTCCAAAAAAAAGCTTTACCCTGCAAAAGTCTATAATATTATGAGCCATTAGCAATGAACATAGGTTTTTTTAAACTTTTAAATATGCAACGCATTAAAAACACAGCTCAACAAGCTTGCTCCAGTAACAAAGCTTGGTTAATCACTTGGTTACTGGGGATGCAGGAACTGATGTTTAAATGTACAACTTGTGACACGGTTTGGTTGTCAAAATTCATTATACTGAGACCTGGCATCATAATCCAGGCTCAGTACCTGGAAGGGCAGATAGAATTGAGCTGCCTCAGTTTATAGTGTATAAACTGTTAGACAGGGAAGTGTAGACATGTAAGAGTATGTTTGCTGCAAGCCTGCATTGCTGCACTGACGGGGCCCAAACTGATTTTTTCTTTCTTTCACATCCGTCTAAACTGGAAAGCAAAAACAGCAGTGCACAAAACAGGCGTGGTCAGATAACTCTCCTGCGGGGGTTGGGGGGGGGGGGGGGGGGGGAGGTAAAAATGAAGGTAAGAAAATTATAGCAGCCACAAATTTCAGCGAAACTTGCAAACATACCCAAATTAAACCCACCCACATTGACTGGTTAACACAGAGACCGTACAGCATACATATTATTTTGGCTTGGCCGCTGGGTGATTGCTAGTCACACCAACCTCTGAATTTACAGGATAAATCAGTGTTAGATAGACTGACTGGCCTTCATAACAACAAATCATCCACAATCTATTTGTCAGGAGGTCGTTAACCAAACCATGTCACCCTCATATATTTTGTGACAATATATTGAATGAGGATTTGGTTTCTGGAGATAGTGTGCTTTCCGGATAGCTTTTCTTTGGTACCTTAATTTCTAAGAGCTGCATGACTTCAGGAAAGACTTCGATACAGTTGGAATGTGCAATGACTGTGTGCAGACGCCTGCAGTTCATGATAGTGGTAGGAATGGCCTTCAGTTTGTTCCCGCTGAGATCCATTTCTTCCAACTCTTCCAGCTTTGCCATTTTACTGAAAAAGTGAAGCGAGAGAGTTTCACACAAACCACCACATGGAAACTACAGATGCTGATGTAAAAGCAGAAGGATTGTTGTTGCCTGGAAGAAGGACAACAATAACAGGTTGCATTTGTATCGGGCCTTTCACAACAGGAGGACGTCCCTAAGCGCTGGTTAGTCAAGGATGAGGAGAAAAAATGGTGGCGGTGATGGGGCGTTAACCAGATTTCTGCATCTGTGAATATGCTAGGTATTCAGCAAGAGTCAACCATGTGCAGATCAAATAGAGTTCAAGTCAATAAGAGGTGTCTTACAAAGCACTTGTGTACTGCGTCCAGCACCACTCAGTGCAATCGCATCTTACAAGCCACAACCTTCCTCATACTCTTCATTTGTCAACTCTCCATTGTGGCAATCAGTGCTCACAGTGATTGTCACATCAGTTAGCAATGCAAACTCCCTTTGCAGGAATCACCAACAGAACTGTAGAAAAGCAGCTTTCCCCAACAAACGTCCGGTAGAGAGTTACGAAGAGGATGTGTTTGAAAAGGCCATCTTACCTGGCTGGAAAGCTCTGGAGCCGGTTGTAAGCGAGGTGCAGGACTTTAAGATAAGTGTGACCGGTCAGTAGTGGCACACATTTATCCGTGAGAGAATTATTGCTGAGATACAGCTCTTGTAGTACACTGTGGCTCTCCTCAGACAGGCAGGAGGGAGGAAGCATTTCTAATTTATTTGCTGAAACGTTCAGACATCGCAAGCTGTTAGAGGAAGATGACAAAAAATAAGGTCACATTTCTAATTGTCAGCAGGTTTTGTAAAATCTATAGTTAACAGCACACATTTAACAGCTGGACCTGATCTGCTCATTTGGGATCACTATTGGAGGAGGGAAATGACATTCATGGAATTGTTTTGGAGGGAATGATCCTGCCTCTTGCACACTGGAAGCATTAGCAATGCTGGACATACATTTTTCTTTTGCTTATAGAGAAAGGCAGCCAAGCACCTACACGGTTAGCTCAGAGCATATCCGTGGGTAGCACGATATTTGATGCTCAAGCGTTGGGATAATTGTGCCTGTCCCGGCTAACATCTCCTGTGGTTTAATTTGGTTCTCAATGTTCTGTCCAGCTATCAAAATTGGCCACAAAGTAGAATAAAGGGCAGTCTTTCTGCACCAATGTATGATAGTTTGTCAAGTCAAAAGGACAGCAAGACATGCTTCTAAGGCAGACGAAGGTCACTTTTTCCGATACTATGAATTCATTTTACGGATGTGAATAATAATAATAGAAACAGCATCGTTAGGAAACGTCTCAATTACCCGTCAGCTTTCAGGAAAAGGTTAGAGGGCAACTCGGTTAATTGATTGTGCTGGATGTCGAGGACCTCCACCTGCGTCCGCTCAAGTCGTTCCGGAAGTTTCCGGAGTTGGTTGTGACCTGCCAGTAGTTTGCGCAAGCTCCCGTTACAGAACAACCTTTGAAAGGAAACATACAACACTGAGTCCTCTGCTCCTCGGCACAAAAGTACTTTGAGCTGTCCTGAGCTGCTCTACTGAGTGTGGAGAAACTCACAGAAATACACCCTCAGTCTCCAGCTGTAACAAACAGACCAGAGATGAGAGAGCTTCACAGTGTTAGCCATGAGAACATTGTTTTTTTAAGATCATGCAACACACTTGAAAATTATTAAAATCAGTCTTCAATTGGAAGTGCTTGAGCTTATGGAGTTCTTAAAAAGGCCTGCGGGAAATAAAACAGCTTCCAAATTAAGAACAAATTTAAGAGCTTTTGAAATTTCTGCACAATCTTGCAATCTTAAAGGTAAGTTGTCTTAAGGCTAAGAATGTGAGAAATTTCAGCAAGCACAAAGGCAGCAGGCATGACATCTGCAAACTGTCTTTGTATCCGCTTAAACCGATTGCTTGTGTTGCAAAACACACACAAATAATGATCTGGCACCATCAGTAATATGATTAAAACTGTTCATGTTGGAGATCTGAAATTAAATCAGGGAGTAATAGAAATCCATAGTGGGTCAATCAGAAGCTGAAATGAAAAATGGGTTAAGCTTGCGAGCATGAGCCATCAGCAGAACTTGCATTATTACAGTTAAGTAAGCTGCCAAAATCAAGGTTATATTTTAAGAGATCGTAAATAATAATAAGAATCCTGCATTTGATATAGAGCCTCTTGCGTCAGAACGACATCTGAAAATGCTTCACAGGATTCATTGTAAAGTGTAGTGACTATGTTGAGGAACCTTAGTTTATCTTGTCATTTCTACAAGTTGGGCACCCTGTTTTAAATGAAGCTTTTGTGGTTACTGAATCTGTATACGTGTATTTTGTAGGCAAACAAAATACTTTCATATAAGTCACAATCTTTTTTTGGTGACAAGAATAAAACTTTTAAAAAGCATTTCTGCACTGCACCAGTGTACAATCAGTACTTTTTCTGGAGTTTTTTTAGGCCTTGTCTCGACATAAAGAAGAATAACACATTTGAGATGCAATCACATGGCTGTACCACAGTCACAGATAACAAGCTTTCACGCAGTTAAATATAAATTATATGGAAACTGGTTCCAGGAAGATGGTTTCCTTGAACGTCGATCAAATTTCATATCTACAAAAAACTCATTACTATCCTGTCATCCATCATATATATTATATAAATAAAATAAAAACAATTGCAATGTGTCTGCCATCTGGTCCCCACTTTTGCGATGTATTGTTAAATGTCTGGAATCATCCCCTCAGTTAACCTCTGTCCTTCCAACCATCATCATATTACAAACATCACTCTATGGGCTTCCCAACATCTGTCTTGACTGTTCAATCGGATTAACCACAAGCAACCCTGCTAGTCACTGTAACACATATAACACATCAGCAGGCCAATGTCATTAAGCATGCACATTAATTAGTTGCACAACAACAAATTGAATTGATATGGCATCTTTAACGTTAGGAGGATGCAACTATAGGCAACCAAATACAAATGCAATTTAATGTGCGATAGCACCAAACACCAAAACTCAATTTATTAATAAAGGCAATGTAGTGTCCTTTTTCTATCAAATATTCCTCCTAACAGAGGAGAAATGGAATTAGAGGTCCAGTGGAATAGATGCCACAAGCCAAATGGACTCTCCTTTGTGCTGAATTTTCTATGACTCTTACAAAGCACTTCCTTGCAGCCCTTTCATTTTCACAAATACTTTCATCCAGGACACATAGGTTGTGCTCCTTGTGAAAGAATCAAATAATTGTGCTTTGCTCTCCCAGGTTACAGGGTTGCCTAAACCCTGGGATTACACTAGTGCTGTACAATTCACTCAGATGTAGTGGGTATCAATTCTATGGTGGGATTCACATGAAAGAGGTTTTATATTTCAGAGTAAGGCATAAAACTGTTTTTTGTGATTTCGGTTGTCATAATACCATTGATGACAGGCAACTTCAAATAATGAAAACTCCAATATCCTCTACAAATACACGCAATCTTGTCCACAGATCCCAGGTTTATCATAATTCTTTGGAAACTGGAATACGGAAACCATACAATATTTTTTAAAATATTCATTTTTTAAAAAAAGCAACATTCAAACCAGAGCCCAACTTCTAGACATGACTAGATAAGCTAGAGCTCTTCAAGAGATGTCTCAGGAAGTGGTGGCGGTGGGGGCAGGGAAATGGAGAGGTGAAGGAAAGGAGAAGAGAATCTCCCAGAAGTATTGGAAGCTGAATGGGATTGAGAATATGCACACTAAACTATACTCTCAGATCCAAGACAACTGGACAATAGGGCAGATTGATGGTTGCAAAAGACAACTCCAGGACAGACACCAGGAAGTATTTATTTTACACAGAGAGTAATTAACAACTGGAACAGGTTGCCAAGTAGGGTTAGGACACCAGATCGATTCAATTAAACAACAGCCTGACACTGTAAAGGACAATAGAGTGGGGTATTTTTAAACAACAAATTTACAAATACATTGCACCTTTCACATCATGAGGACATCCCAAGGCGCTGGAAAGATGAGATACAGGTCAAAGAATTTCTATATCTGAATCTCTATTAAAATCTCAGACTACCAAGGTATTCCTCTGTTGTTTGTCACCCAGAAGCAGAAGCCCAAAGCCTTTGCTGTAAAATGTTTCTGTTCCAAGTTTGGCTTTTTAGCAACATCACCAACCTAATGATTAAATGGGCTGCTGTCAAGGTTCAGCCAATTGCTGATTTTAACATTAGTGCATTAGTGCAGCCTCAATTCAAACAATAAATTTCTTGGCCAGTCAGTCGCAGCAAGTAAGTCAGGATTCATCAGCAGACCATGGTGGGGGGGGGGGGGCGTTCTTGCTGAGTATTGCCTGCCACTGCAGACACCAAACACAAGCTCAGTTACTTACTTTCCAGGCAGCTCGCAGATCCGATTGTGGCCCACATCCAAGACTTCCAGCTTTTTACTGTCACAAACCCAATCGGGTAAGAGGTCCAGTCGGTTCCTACATAGGAAACGTGACCAAAATGTTACATTCCTATACATAGCAAGATCATAAGCAACCACAAAGCGAGAAAAGCCAACTCAGCCCATTACTTACAAATAGCTCTGCTCCACCCATTTCATCTCCAGAGTGAAACATCCCGTATAAATACTCTCAAAGACAATCAAACAAAATAATCTTCGGCATTCATCCATCCTCACTTCTTCAATATTAAGCCCAGAACTGCTACCTCTTGCCCAGCCCAGCAGAAGAGGAAATACAGTGTCCTGTGAAACATTCCTTCAGTTTGATCTCATCCCATTCCCAACCAAATCCTCATCCAACTCCCTTTCCATAGAATCATGGAATCATAGAATCTTACAGCAGAGAAAGAGGCCATTCGACCCACCATGCCTGTGCCGGCTCTTTGAAAGAGCTATCTAACTAGTCCCACTCCACTGCTCTTAACCTAATAGCTTTTGAAGAAGTTAATCGACTCAACCTCTTTTGCTGGAGGCTATTTTGCATATCCACTATTCTGTGGGAAGAAATAATTCCTCTAGCATTCAGATGTTCAAAGATGATGTCTGTGGCCCTGGTTATTGTCCTGCCATCCTTTGTGTCACCATTGATTACATCATCGTTTTTTACCTAACTTGCATATTGACAAGCCAACAGTTGACAATTACCTACCTTGATACATCCATGAAGGTAAGGTTGTTGGGGACTGGATAAACATCAATGTACACAAGGCCTGAAAGAATGAAAGTACAATTCAGTTTTTAGACAGCGTCTAGCAATAGTGTAAAAGGAACATCTGCCACAAGTTTTATATCTGTTGGCGGGTTTTCATTGAAGGACATTATTCCCCCAATGTCTCTGCTTCTCTGTGAGCGGTGCAACTCCTACAACAACAACAACTTGCACTTTTATAGCGCCCTCCACGCAGGGTAGTGTGTCTGCTATGGGTGAACACTTATTAGGCCTCCGAATGCACCACTCTGGCCTGGTCACCATAAAGTGCACAGTAGTGTAGCGGCTATTCCTCTAGTTCACTGCCAGTCAAACTACGGTCGTGGATCAGTTCTGGTCCAAGGTGCCGTCAAGAAGTGCCCCCCACCGCCCCCAACACTTGCACGAGTCTAGGTAAGTCCGAATTCCATCAGTACTGTGTTTCCAGGTTTTTCTTGGCTGAATATTTCGTGATTTATAGCAGTTTGCTGCCGACCCAAAAAGATTGTCCATCATTTCTCTAGTTTTCCCTGGCTCACCACCTCCGCTCACAAATTATATCACTAGGTGCTGAGGAACCACAGCACCACCCATTCCAGTCTAATTCCACAGCATGAGTCTGACTTGTGGCTTTCCTGCTCATGTTAATTACTGCTTGCCAAATCTAACTAAAGTCAAATTAATTAATTTGTTTAAACTGATTGACTTTCCAGGCGCAAAATATTTCCATTCAACTCCATTCCCCGAGTTAGCATCCTAAACTGAGTTAGGTGAGAGTTTTCCCCTTTTCTAGTCAATTTTCTTTCAATCAATGGCCAGGCCAATGTGTTCTCAACAAACAACAACAAGAACAAGATTACATTTGTATAGCACCTTGCATGTCGGGAGAACGTCCCAAGGCGCTGGACAGTGAACAGCATTTCAGACCCGAGCTGGGATCAGGGGGGGAGAAGGAAGGGGAGGGGAAGGGGGGTGGCCGATGGCATGGTCGAAGAGGAAGGTCTTGAGGCAGGACTTGAAGGAGGTCACCTCGCCCCTCCTTAGCCTCCAAACAATACATTTGTACAACGCCGTTCACGTTGGGAGGACATCCCAAAGCGCTCAAAAGGTAAGATGACAGAAAAGGAGCAAATAGAGTACAAACATAAACTAATAAGGAAGGTGAGACTCCAGACTTACTATTTGTAGCAGCAAATAGATTCTTCAGCAGATACCCACTGACTTTAAGGCTGGACAGTTGATTTCGTTCACAGTGCAAAACCTCAATGTTGCCAAACACAGAGGCATCAAGGTCAGTCAATTTGTTGTCCCGCAGATCTAGATGCGTAACATATGGCAAGATATCCATATCCGCAGTATCCAGCTTGGTGATGCAATTGAGTCTAAATATAAAAATCAACAACATTTCCAATATGACTTGTAATAAAGAAACACATACCTAGCCCTCAAAATCTGGAGATGTACAAGTAAGGGATTCTGCACAAGATCTTTACTGTGGACCTGCGCAATAGTGTAAAATAATGTACACTATTGCGCATAGAATTTATAGCTCAGAACAAGACTCATTGTGTCTGTGCTCGCTCTTTCAAACAGCAATTCTTTCAGTAAGACAAGAGGGTACTGGTTCAGAATTGAAAGAGTAAGTTCAGGACAGACACCAGGAAGCATTTCTTTGCTCAGAGGGCAGTCAACAGCAGGAATGGTGGTTCAGGCCATGAGGGAGTGCTCACAAGAGAAACAGCTTAATGCCCTGATGGGAGGATGTGGGGTGGGGTGGAAATACTCCAAAAAAGGATGAGAAATTAGCCAAAAGGCCTTTTTCACCCAAATCACTCTTGTGATCTTGTTAGTTGTGACGAGAGAATTGCTTCATTGTGAACCAACTCATTTACATCTCTTCCCTCCCCCGCATTGAATTTTGTACAAATACCTACATTATTATCTACCTTAAATCTACTTGTTTGATGTGTGGCATCCTGCCCACCTTCTGCAGGCTCAGGGTCTCCAGGCCATTGCCGGACATGCACAGCTTCTCCACAGTGGTTAGTTTCTCCAGCACGGCTGGAATGTGTGTGAATTGGTTAAAGGACAGGCTCAGGTACGTCAGCTGCTGCAGATTTGCCAGCTCTGGGGCGAGAAACTGCAGGGAGTTGCCGTCCAGCAAAAAAGTCTGCAAGCTGCATTTCAGAAGAAGAGAGAAAGAGTGAGTTAAAACACAAGAGTTAACATCAGCTGTTCTGTCGCTTTTCTGCGGGCTCTGCTATTCCGAGACAGACTCTGCTCTCAACGCGGCTACTTACTTATTCATGTTGCCGACTGCCGGTGGGATCGATCGGAGGGCGTTGCAGGAAAGGTTGAGCTCCGAAAGCGTTGGAATATCACAGAGAGCGAGAGGAAACTCTCCCATGTGATTATTGGACAAATTCAGACTTCTCAACTTCATGAACCTGAAGTGAAAATTTACAGAGGGATGACGAGAGACAGAGAATAAAATAAGTTCATTCAATAAAATGAAATATCCTGCATATTTGTTCTCTTTGTAGTTATTTTGTAATACTCCCTCTCCCACTCCCCTTTCCTCATTTTAATAATAATAATCCTTGCATTCAATATAGCCTCCTATCAACAACAACAATAACTTGCACTTATATAGAGTCCCCATGCAAGGTAGTGTCTCAGAGCGCTTATCACATCGTTGAGACGTTTCAAGGCGCTTCACAGTATTTTTTGAGCAAAACATGGCAGCCAATTGCCCACAGGTAATTTACACATCGGTCTGCATTACTCTCATCAGCATTCTTTTTGAGGTGGGATAACAGGAGCGAGAAGGCAACAGAGAAGCGGTTCCTGGCATCCACTCCACGCCTTCCCCGAAACTCGGGTAAAAACAACAACAAATGATACTTGTATAGCACCCTTCACGACGGAAAGACCTCCTATGGTGCTGCACAGAGCCTAGAACAGCACAGAGAACAGAGAAATAGATAGTAGAGGCCCCACAGACTGGAGGTATGTATTGCATCAGCCCACCCTGCCAGGGCAACACTTGGTGTGCTGCATTTAACCCCAATGCTCTTGGTTTAGAGGCGAAAACCAGTCAATGTTCCCAGTGCTACTGTCTGCCAAGCAGCCAACACCCTAATTTTTTTGCACCACATTTTATTGATTTAAATAATACAATTTACACCTATATAGCATCCTTCACATCAGGAGGAAGTCTCACAGTGCTTTACACAGTTGATTGGACACCGAAGCCGGTGGATGGGGGGAGCGGTGGAGAGGAGAGAAGAGGGGGGAGCGGTGGAGAGGAGAGAAGAGGGGGGAGCTGAAGAGGGTGGAGAGACGAAGAGCTGCAACCAGGATGGAGTTCCAGGAATCAGGAGTAGAATGACAAAGCTGACCCACTGTTGGTGGGGGACATGAAGCAGGCCAGTGTTCACTGAGTGAAGGGAGCGGGCTGGTCGGTAGGGTTGGGCGATTGGCACTAACGTAACATGTAGAGTACAAATTGCACCATAAAATGCATTATCTGATCAAAATATTCCATAGAGGAAAAGTGGAGGGAGGACAAAACACATTGGGCTATACATCTTATGCGCCTACACTCTGCCCACGAGATTACTTCAATGAAATACTCAGCAAATAAAATTGTATCGCATTAATCACCAATTCTAGGATTTTGTTTGATATGTTCCAAAACAGCCAAAAATATCCTGCCAAGATAGAGGAACTCTGGCAGCTGTTCTTTTGATGTACAAATATGAAGCTCTAGCAGTTCGGACTTAAAGCTGAAAGATGTACTGAAATGCATTCATTCATATTCCTATTATTGCCTAACTCAGCAAAGATCAGAAATTGAATCATAACTATCCTTCTTCTGCATGATTCAGAGTCACCCATTGCTCATTAAGCCATGGGTGGGGGCCAAGAGAAGGAGAGTTAACTGCTGTGCGACATGTCCAGGGAAATTCCTTTCAGCACCAAAACGGACACTGTCTCTGTCACTGGACAGGACTGATCAGTGTTCCTCCCCCCCACCCTCTTAAATATGTACCAAGTAATATAATAATCTGCATGCGATGTAGCACCTTATCACGTAGTTGAGTTGAAGTGTCTCCAAGTGCTTCGCAGTATATACTGTAAAGTGAATTGAATTTATATTTTGTCGGCGAAGTGACAGCCAATTGCATGAGAATTTCATGAGATTCTCTCGACATGAGAGGCACTGCAAGAAATGCAAAGCTTATTAGGATAATTCATCTGTTTGTTTCTAAATCACCTTTTCTTTACTAATAATACTTGCATATAATATAATGCTTTATCACATCATGGAGACGTCCCAAAGCCTTTCACAGAATATATTGTAAAGTGAATTGACAGTGTATTTTATGTGCGAAATACGGCACCCAATTGCGCAGAGGAGTGTCCCAGAAATGGTTGTGGATTGAGTGACCAAACCAGGTTCTATTTATTGCTAGGTAAACATAGATGTGTGGAGCAAAGAAATTTGTCTAAGGTTTCAACCTACCCAATACTCAAACACGGGTGTTCTCGCTTGCGAAGCGAGCATGCTAACCACTTTAAATAGATAGGAAGACTGGGAGGTGCAGCCGGTTTGGACACCTAGTGTGTTGGTGTATATATTTAGGGAAAACAGATGCTCTTCTGCAAAGTGGAGTCAGTCAGTTATCACTGAGATAGGAGCTCCTTTTGTGAAACATATGTGCATGAGGCCCGGAACAGTAGATACGGGTAAACAAAAATGAAAAAAAAATCTATTGTAAAATGAAACCTTTCCAAAATGCTAGAAGCCGTTTTATTTTCTAGGCACAAAACAAATAAATCTACTCATGGATTTCAATCCATAAAAAATGGATGTACACTCCCTTGACCTGCCTGAAGAGAACAGCTGACGCACGTAGCTTGAGCCTATACAGCACTGACAACCTTGTCAGTTGAGGCTGAAGCAGTAAAGCAATAACCATTCCTGAACAAATTACACTGAAACCAATGATCTCTTTGTGCAAGCCAGAGGAAACCCAACACAGGCTCCTGTGAACACAAGCCTGCTAACCCAGCAACTGTGGATTATTCTCAATTTGGGGAACAGTTAATACTGGGATGTGCGTCAAATTGTGAGAGAGCAAATTGACCTCAGAGAACGCACATCCCTCAAGACCTTCACATAAACAGTGATACTGTAACATTTGCCTACAAATCAGCAAGACTCTAAAATGCCAGTCGTGGGATATATTCAGTTTATGGGCAAATTGTAGGCATTCCCGCCTGGTAGCTGCCAATTCTAACTGGCTCAATTTCTGCATTGGTTGCAAATTAAGTACGTCATTTGCGAGCCATATCCAGGATAAGTGAGTGGTGATTCTTTTATTTAATTGGCAGTTCAGCAATGATGATATATTATGATGCACACACAAACTCGCATACACACAAGAGATGCCAGCGCCCAACACGCCAACAAAATAAAGGAGGATGTTTTCTTTTGAATATAAGCAAAATATATTAGCCACAATCTTCTGAGTTCAGAAATGCTCGCACTTCCTGAATACAGGAGATCCACACATTACGATGCCCCGAAGACAGGAAGACACTGAAGTGAATACCTGAAGCCGATGTTCTTTCCTCGTCTCCTCAAAACAAATAAACATGCAGCTATCAGCATGTTGAGAGACCCTGCATTGTACTCTCCTTGAGTCAGTAGTTTAGCAAAGTTTACTAAAACAAACAACTCAACAGCTCTTGTTTAGATAAGACTAATAAATAAAAGGAGCTCTTCACCAGCAGTTAACTGTATGGCAGTGCTCTCTCTCTCCAACTACAAATCCTCAATAACCAGGTGGAAATCCACAGTAGAAGATGAAATTGAATCCACCCACACAGATTTCGGTGCAAAGGGTCACTACACATTTTCAAAATGTTAACCAAGCTAACCACAGCAAAACGGAGTTTTTCATTTTGCAAGCTATATCTCTATAGTTTCCTTCCACTTATTACATACAAATGGACTCCAGAAAATGCTGCAATCCTGGTTGAATTAAATGTCTATTAGTTCTGGTTAGATTAAAAAGCTGGCAACGGGCTGTAAGAAGCGGCTTGTCAAGAACCGAGCATCAAAATGTGGTCGCCAATGATGCTTTGATCAGATCAAAAGTAAATTTACTTTCATTTCAGTGCTGGGTTTGTTCCTTTGTGCATGTCAGTCATTAGTTGTGTTTTTGATGTTTTTCCTTGTCGAAAATGTGTGAGAAAATTATTTTAATTGGATTCAAATGAATGCGAGCGCCTCCCTCACGGGGAGCGAGCTCCATCCCAGAGCACAACTGCACAGAGTCTATATAGCTGAGATCAACGAAGAGAAAGCAATAAGGTTATAGCAATCGTATAACCGTATGTAAATAAGCCTTTCAGTAAAACCATTGGAATTATTCAATATGGAAACGGCTAATAACTATCCTTCATTAGAAATCCCCTGGGAGCGAAAACAACAAACTCAGCTGGGGAGCAGCTATGCACAGTAACTGGAGAGCATGATAGATTAGACAAATGTCAGAGATCAAATGCACGGGGAAAGAAAGTCTTAAAAAACAGACTGAAATTGCTTCCACTGCTGAACGGATTCTGACGTTTCTGCATCCGTGTGAAAGCAGTGTTTGAAACTGCAATCTCTCCCCACCAACCCCCCAACCCACTGTTGGACTGTAACGCTGACAATCACTAAAAGGGCAACAAAACCTGAAGTGCACACAAAGGCACGTGGATAAACACAGGTAACATACAAACACACCTGCACATTCACACGCACACAAGCGAGGAAACAGGTGCGCCCTAAAATAAACAAAACACTGTTGATTTAATCAGATTTGAGTTGTGAAGAATGATCCACCACTGCATAATCCAATTACTGCTTTTCCCTCAATCTTTCCCTCCTTCAAACCTTCCCACAACTCTTCTCCCTCCTCCCAAACAATGTTACATGGGATATCTATTGCTCTGTGCGGTCGGTACCACTCCAGGGACTCTGCTCCACTTGTTGTGCCAAATGCATATATATGAGACTTCACAAAAACGTTTTGTAAACAAAGATAATTCAATCACTAAACGTAACTGCCGAGGAGATCGTGGATAAACTCACAGGCGGGTGCAACCCTGAGCCACACAGCCTATAACAGAGGACAAGGGTCACTGAGAGTAGCCAGGCAACAAGAGCAGTGTCTCTGTGAATCCCTCGATAGTCCTTTACGAGGGAAAAGGGGAGTTTGTCGTGAATTTATCAACAAGAAAATGCACTTCCATGAGGAGGCTTTAGCAGATCAGTCCTGTGCAAACTGGTGGCAACGAGGTGGGCTCAGCTGGACATTGGCAGCTCATGGGTCAGTTAAGGAGGTTCCAACTTACTGGAAAAACATTATTTTCTATTTTTTTAAAAAAAACATTATAGGCTTCAAGCGCATGAAACATTTTTTGGAAAGAATAAAATTTGACTCTTTTGAGAGGCCGGCCACCTGCTATTTGTCTCAGACTCCTACACCAATCCAAGCTAGTAGTAGGGTATGTAGCAATGCAGTTGATAGTCTACTGTACTCAAGTTATCCACCGGATAAGCATTAGAGCAATTCACCACTCGCCCGAGAAACAAACATTCCCATTCATAAAGTCGCTGCCTTTTTGTTACACTCACTGCCCATAAGCGAATCTAATTCATTAAAAAATAGCTTTCAAAAGGGAATTGGATATTTACTTGAAAAGAAAAAATTGCAGGGCTACAGGGGACTGGGGCTAGTTGGTAGCTCTTTCAAACATGATTAACCGAATGGCCTCCTTCTGTGCTGTTGGGATTCTATGACTCTGTGAAAGTGAATCTAGTGCAATGCTGGACACTCTTCGACAGCACATTCACCACCTGGACACAACTAAGACCACTGCAATTTGAAAATCGACAGTGAAAATATTATAGCTACTATAAAAACTGTGGATTTATTGGGCATATTTCAATGCGGAAAATCACATCTCTCTCTTTAGTCTTTCTCTGTCACTTTCTTTCTCCATCCCCCCCCCACCCCCGCCCACAACAGCAAACCTAACTTCTCCAGGGATTTTTTAAAAATTTTTAAGAGAAATGGGCTTCTCGAGTCCAAAGACCCACAGCCCAAGATGCTGTGGTTTAAGCACAGGTAGTTAGTATGGCTGTTACCTCTGAAGGTCGCTCAGACCTCCACTTGCTCCAAGACACGGTTTCAGCCGAAGGAAGTTCTGTTTCAGGTTCAGGTGAGTCAAGTCCTGACTGTAAAAGAGATTACTTGGCAGCGCCTCCAAACTGCAGCACGATAGGTCCACGGAGCTGATTCTCTGGGAAACAATCTGAAAAAGACAAAAATCCCCTCACATGAAATTTTTCCCAATGCACTCCTTCGCACCCCCACTCAATTTTGAACCAAACACCTGGCCTCTATGAACAGAGCAGGAGAATTTTTCAAGTTGTGTTAATAAACCTTGCATTTGATAGGCACTTATCAGGAATTACTGTAAAATGCAGTGAATGTATATTTCATAGGCAAAATAACAGAGAATTGATGAAGATAAGGATGTAGATGTGGTACATGTGGACTGTCAGAAGGCTTTTGATATGAGCCACACAGAAGACATGCTATTAATGGAATGGTGGAGATGAGATAAATTCTTAAGGATAGAAAACAGGGTGGATATAATTATTATTCAGAATAGAGAGATGTAAATAGTATGATTTGTAGACAAAATCAGCATCAAATTCACGCAGAGCAATGTCCCAACAATCAGCCATGATGTGAATGACCAATTAAATGTGGTGAATTGCTGGCCAGGACACAAGGAGAAATTCCTTCTCTTTTCAAAAAATGCCACGGAATCTTTAACATCCACCTGAACAGGCAGACAGGACCTCGGTTTGACGTCTTATCCAAAGGTTGGCACCTCTTACAATATAATACCAAATTACATTTGCATTGCACCTTCCCCGTCGGGAGTATGTCCCACGGCACTGGACAGTCAGGTGGGGGGATGGGGTTTGGGAATCAAAAGGGGTGGAGGGCAGGTAGAGTAGGATGTCAAAGGCACGGTCGAAGAGGAGGGTCTTGAGACGCCCCTTGAAGGGGGCAAGGGAGGAAGCAAGGCGAAGGGAGAGCGGGATGGAGTTCCAAAGGGTGGGAGCAGAGAGGGTGAAGGTCTGACCGCGGATGATGGGGCGTGGAGCAGGACGGAGTTGCTGAGCAGAGGGAGCAGAAAAGGTTGATAAGGGGTTAGCCGGTCACAGAAGTAGGAAGGGGCAAGGCCATGGAGGGCCTTGAAGGTGAGGATGAGAATTTTGAACTCTATTCTCTGAGGGACGGGAAGCCAGTGGAGCCGGGCGAGGGTGGGAAGATGGGGTCACGTAGTGGTGATGAGATAAGAGGGTTCGAAGATGTGGATGAAGTGATGTGTAGGAGCCGGGGTGTGAGGGGGAGATGGGGACGTGGTAGTAGTTGGCAGGGCAGAGGCAGCTGAGTGGATCCCCTCGATTTTGGTCTCGAGGAAGTCCAGCATCACCTCACAGTTGGTGTTGGAGGAGAGGATGGGCGAGGCTTGACAGGGTGGACAGAAGAGCCGGTTGGTGGCGAAGAAGAGTAACAACAACAACAACTTGGATTTATATAGTGCCCTCCACGTCGGATGGCGTCTCAGAGCGCTTGGGGTTGTCTTTGGCCTCCAAGATTGTCTTGGAGAAGAACGCCGATTTAGCAGAGGTGAAGGCGGAGCAGTAAGTTTTGATGTTGTCCAGCCAGATCTGCCAATGGACAGTTAGATTTGAGACAGGTGCGTTCAGCGGCACTCACCTGTGCCTTGAGGAAGCAGAGGTGGCTAGTGTACCAGGGTAACTTCCATGAGTAGGAGGTGGTTCGGAAGTTGAGAGGGGCAAGGGCATTGAGACTGATGGAGAGGGAGCTGTGGAGGAGAGTGAGCGTGGAGGATAAGTCAGGGGAGAGGAAGCCCGGAGAGGTTGGAGTTCAGATGACTCCAGGGCAGCGGAGAGGGAGTGGGGGTCGCTTTTTTTTCACAGGGGTGGTGCATATCAAATGGACACACCCAGAATCGCACAGGAGCCCCAGCCTAGATTGTGAGTTCAAAGTCACCATGTAGGGCTTGAACCCACAACCTTTTGACTCATCAGAGGTGAGAGTGCTCTCAAGTGAGCCAGGAGGATCCTCGTAAATTGGGAGAAAAATTGTGACAAGTAGAGATTAAAAGGGAGCCTTTAACAGCAGTCTAGGGAGCAGGTAGTAAAACTGAACACAGAGCTTCACATTCAACTTTAATTACCAAGTAATCCAACTTCTTTCCCTGGGGCTTGAAATAAAAGCTTGAAATTTGTTAAGCACGTGTTGGTGAACAGACGTCATAGAACAAGTTTGCCACTTTCATTGCTGCCCCAGTGAGCTAATCGCTCAGGGAGATTCTGTAAATCTACCTGAGATACAAGTAAGCCCTTCCTTTATGATCTCTCAAAATGGACAGGATAAGTAAACGCCACAAAAAACTGTGCTGGTGTTAAATAAAGAAGTGGAAGAATCAGACCTAGTGACTGAATCTTTTTGTAAGTTTTCCTTTAATGTAAACAGGTGAACAAACAGTGGTCCATCCATTCGACTTCTAGGCTTACATATGATGAATGAGCACGTGGGCGAGGTGCTGGCGGGCAACGCAATCAGGAGTCAGGTGGGGGAAAGGGGAAATAGAGAATCAAAAGGCTTGAGCCAGGACAACAAGGCGCCAGATTGTCCCCTCTTCCAATCACAAAAAAAACAGCACCACATACATAGACAGCAAAATAATAATAATAATAATATTCCTTACATTTGATATAGCGCTTCATCACGTCTTCGAGACGTTTCAAAGCGCTTCACGGAATATACTGTAAAGTGAATTGACTGAAGATTTTGTGGGCGAAATGCGGCAGCCAATTGCACCCAGCAGCGTCCCCACAAACAGTCATGGATTGAAGAGACCAATTTATTCTTTTTTTTAAACAAAACTGAAGGAATTATTACCCTTGGAAAAGCGATCCGCCGATCGACTAACAACCGGAATCCTACTTTCAACAACAACAACTTGATTTATATAGCGGCCTCCACGCCGGACGGCGTTTCAGAGCGCTTTACTTACTGCTAGGTAAACAGAGGCATGTGGAGTAAGGAAACTTGCCCAACATTTTGCTCTGCTGGGAATCAAACCCAGGTCTCTCGCTTGCGAGGCGAATGCTCTAACCACTGAGCTACAGGACTCCACAGTATATATAGTTAGCTCACTTTACAGTATATTCTGTGAATTGCTTTGAGACGTCTCAACAACAAAGCACATAGCGATACTGCACTATATCAAATGCAAGGATTATTAAGGATTATTATAAAGAGCTAGAATACAGGGTGAGCCCATAACTGCAGATTTAATCCAGGATAAGGAAAAGGATTAAGAAAAGTTCACCAACACAGTCCTGAATTTAGAGTAGATTAGAAAGAAACAAAAGGCTGCAGTTCTATTCTTGAAGAAGGAGGTGGATTCATAAAGCTAAAGGTCAATTAGACTACAAATGCACAACTCAAGAACACTTCGGAGGTTTCGCTTTGTTTTGGAGGGACCTTCTTGTGGTTCACTGCAAACAAGGTGCAGCCAGCAATGAGAACTGGAATGAGCACAGCTCTGCTCCACACAGCTCCTACATCAGACGTGTGTTCCAAAATAAGCAAAGGACAAATACACGAAGGAAAGCAAGCAAAAGGACATAATACGCAGATTGCTGATCTGATACTCAGAAGGACTACCTCCAGAGTATTCATGGGAGCTGGAGTCAACACTTCCCCTCACACCAAGCACCAAAGAAGCCTCATTAGAACTGTGCCAGTCTGACGTTCCTCTCTCTCATTCCCCCTTCTCCTCCACACTTTTAAAGATTTCTCCTGAAAGGCACTTCTCTCACTGAAAGGCTTGTGTTTTCCAAAGCCAGTCCTTCCTTGCACATCGCACTTCAGAAACATTTTTTTAAAGACACAAAATAGAATTCCTGATTGAGACGTTCACGAATCGTAAACACCAGATAAATGTTGCGTTGGCTTTCAAAAATCGTCAACCACATCCCAAGAGGATTTTAAGCCAGCAAATCTCCATAGAGGCACTAAAATTGACCACACGGTCCTGAACACAAGCCAGAGCCTCCTCTTCCTGGGCCCCGGGTGAGGATAGGATCAAACTAGGCTATTGGCTCCTACAGTAGAGTTGAATAGCCCGCAAGACTTGCTATCCAGCCTCACTGTGAAGAATGATCTTTTGGCTGAGGTGTCGGAGGCTTCCTGCCAAGCAGGACGACAGTCATTCCTGACCAGAATCAGGAAAGGAAAAAAATTAGCAAAGAGAAAAATCAATGAAATCAATTTCAGGATTTCCATAAATGATAAAAATGAATCAGCTTGATATTCATAGAATATGTTTCAAAAAGGTTCTCCTACAGTTCTGAGGCCTGAACATCTTTTCAATCATCTTTCATTCAGATCTCAGCCTGGTTCAGTGAAAGCACTCTCACCTTGGAGTCAGAAGTTTGTGGGATCAAGCCCTATGTTAGGACTTTGAACTCACATAGGCTAGAACTGACACCCCAATGTGGGGTTGGGGGATTGCTTCATTGTCAGAGGTGCATCCTTTAGATAAGATGTTAAACCGACATCCCATCGGCCTATCCAGGTGGACGTTAAAGATCCCATGGCTCTATTCGAAAAGAGAAGTCAGTTTCTCTTGGTGTCTTGGCCAAGGATCCTCCAGATAAAATTGGGAGCATTCACTTCAGTGCTGTTTTCGTTCACACTGTTGTGTGAAAATTGTCTGCTAAATTTTGCCTATAAAGTACACAGTCACTCCGCTTTACATCAAATCCTGTGAAGCGTTTTGATCACGGTATAAAGCACTGTGTATAAGGTCAGGATTTGTTTCAGTATGACACCATACTCAGCTAAGACGAGGGAGCTGTTCTGTCGTTTTAAAAGGTTCTTTAAATAAGCAAACTGTGTATAAACACTTCTTTATTAATCTCGTTTAATCTCATTACGATTTCATTCTTACCTGATCGGAATACGTGCCCCTAACACCCCCTTCCCTCTGGAATTTCATGCACAATAAAACAAAACCAGGCTGAAGTACTATTTTGCTCACAATACTGGGCACCAATGTTCATAATTTGGTATTTAAGAAGGAAATTTTGGCAGTGCTCACCAGTCGGGAACAATAGCTTTATTAAATCTGTTGGCAGAGTGAAATGCCAGAGTTTGTTCTGTGTGGGAGTTTTAAAAGCAAACAAAGTCAAGGAATGGATCTGCCCCACGTAGACAGCAGGATAAAACCGTTTCTCTGTACCCCTCTGCTCTCTCCCAATCCCCTCCGCACAGCTGATTAACTCAGGCGCGCGGAACCGAACAAAAGCTCCCTCAACACCAGCTCTGACATTACACGGGCATGAACAAGCTGCGTACAATACAGGCCCTCATGAATGCAACCTTCCTAAATTGAAGGAGTTTCTCACGGAAACACTACTGAAGGTAGAAACAAAAGTTTGTGGTAAGTATCAAGTTGCAGAAATCAGCAGCTTTCACCTTTCCAACCATTTGAACTAGCATTAGCAAGTCTGTTGTACTGCAGAGAGCAAGGCTCTACACCTCACCTACAAAATCATAAGACTCAACATTGGTGGCAGCTGTTAAACAGAGAATTAGGTTTCTTCTTCTAGACCCCTGTTCACTTCCCAACCCAACCACCCATAGAGTAAAAACGACTGTTTGTGGGACACTGCTGTGCGCAATTGGCAGCCGCGTTTCACCCACAAAATATTCAGTCAATTCACTTTACAGAATATTCTGTGCAGCGCTTTGAGATGTCTCAACAATGTGATAAGACGCTATATCAAATGTAAGGATTATTATTACAACCACAACTTGCACTTATATAGTGCTCTCCACCCAGGGTAACGTCTCACAGCGCTTAATAGTGGCGGAGACTGACTCCAAGCCGAGGTGGTGGGGGCAGGTGGCTGTAAGCACGGTCAAAAAGAAAGGTTTTCAGGCAGGACACAAAAAAGGGGAGAGAGGGAGGGCAAGGCGGAGGGATTGAGGGAGAGTGTTCCAGAGTTTCGGGGCGTAGTGGGTGAAAGCGCAATCTCTGATGGTGGGGCGGAGAGTGTGAGGGACAAGCAGGAGGCCAGAGCCAGTCGAGTGGAGGCACCAGGTGTGGATTGGAGAGTGAGGAGGTCAGAGAGGTAGGGAGGTGCCAGGGAGTGAATGGATTTGAACGAGTGTGAAGATCTTGAAGTTGATGCGTTCGGTGATGGGGAGCCAGTGGAGCCTGGCCAGAACTAGTGAGAATGGGGGGACGGAGTTTGGTCCGGGTCAGTACTATTACTGCAAGAACAAACTCTGCCTGAGCCAGACAGAAGATACCTGGGCCAAATTAGCTATGGTGGCAGGTGGGGGGGCGCAAATTCCTAATTTGAAAAATAAGGAAGAAAAGGTGGAAAACATGCCGCAAAACCATCATAATTTGGGGAACAAAAATCTTATAGTTGCAACTTAATCGTCATACGTGTGTCAAGGGTCTTTGGAGAGAAAAGCCCAACTTGTACTACAATGCTTCAAACAAGTGGTGGAACAGGTTAGTGCTGCAAAGCCTTTTGTTACAGTGAAGCCTGAGGACTGTCTGCTCTCCTCAGACAAACAGCCACCAAACATGGGACTGGGGGTAAAAACAGTCACTACAACAACAACAAATTAAATTTGTTGCACCTGGGTCTAGGGGAGTGGAAGGTTAGAACAGACACCCAGCACACATAGACCCACCTTTGAAGCCTGTCGAAGCCAGCGTAAATATTCTGGGAAGCTATCAAAGCTGACATAGTAGGTTTGACTCTGTGGTCCCGATGACATGAAAGCCAAACAGTGCTGATGCTTCTTCACTTCCTCCACCTACACAAGACAGAAAGGATCCGATTACATAAACCAAAAGAAAACATTGTGGCTCACTTTAACCAAAAAACACAAGTGTGAGATCAGGTCCACTCAAGCTCGGCCTGCGAAATTCAGAAATATGTTAGGAGCATTAACATTATCCCTTGAAACGCTGCCGGCATAATAATCCTTTCCTTTGATAGCTCGTTTGATGTTGGGAGAACATCTCAAAGCGTTTTACAGGATTTAGTAAAGCTGAGTGACTGTGTATTTCTAGGCAAACATAAATTAAAACACAAATACAGCAATTAATTTGCACAAGTGACCAATTTTATTCGGTGGATTATTGGCCAAGACACCAGAAACTCCCTTCTCTTTCCAATGGTACCATGGGATCTATAATGTCCACCTGAATGGGGTGATTTGAAGCACGGCACCTCTGGTAATGCAGCACCTTCCCCAGCACTGCATTGGAATGTCAGCCTAAACTTCAAATTCAAAGTCCTGTGGTTGGGCTTGAACCCACAAACTTCTGACTCAGAGCAAGACTGTTATAAACTGAGCCAGGCTCACACTTTGAATGTGCAGTTACATTTTGGGGTGGGGGTGTGAAAAGAAGTGAGTAACAGTGAGTAGGCAGTGTGCAGTTAGAGGGAGAAACGTTCCCATAATAATACGGTAACGTCATGAGCATTGATTTGTCATTTTGGAGGCAAACACAGCAGCTATTTGTATCAGCAAAATCCCACAAACAGCCACGAGGCAAATGATCAATTAATCTGTAGGATTAGGGACCAGGACGTTGGGAGAAACTCCCTTCTCTTTTCAAATAGTCTCACAGGATCTTGAACACAAATCCGAAGAACAGGCGGAGGGGGCCTCATTATAACATCTCGTTGGAAGGAGCGCTCCCTACAAAGAAGCGCTCCCCCAGCACTATATTGAAGTGTAAGACTCTGAGCTCAAGTCCCTATATGTGGGGCACAAACTCAATCTTCTGACCCAGAAACGATTTGAAATGATTTTTGTATTATGTTGACAGCCTGGGGTTAATATTACAGTAATTAAGCTATCAGCATGAGAGCTCTATTACTGTAATTAGTATTTTTTTAGCGTGTGGGAACTGAAAACACTCAGTGCCCACAGATTGAAGTCTTTGCAGATCTGCAGGCAGTCTGAGGATTACAAAAGAAAAATAGCTTCCAATAAATGAACTCAACATTTTAAAACCATCCTAAAAGGAAAGTTCTCCCCACCTCATTCCGCGCACTCAATGGACAATCCAATGGCAAGCTAAGTGGTTTTAACTGGTCAGACTTCAGCAGTACTCCAACACACACTCTGGGGTCCCCAAGCCTTGGCTCTTGCCAACTTGTGCCTAATACTTTCTGAAATTAGGTAAGCATGAACCGTCCCTCCAGATAAAGAGTGCGCATTCCATTCCAATAATCTATCTCTAAGATTTCCACGTGTAGTTGGGATGTATGGAAATGTTAGCCTCATTTGGATACTCTCAAGCATGACGACAGGTCATGTGTCAGAAACCCAGCCGACCCCCCCCACTCCCGCCCCACTCCAAAAAAGACCTATCCTGCAATCGATTAGCTCAACTGTACCTTTCCCCCGATCAATGGTAGCACGTGCATTTTCCCCGAGTGGCTGTCCTTCACAGAGGAAACTATCAAGCAGGTTCCACACAGGATGACCTGGCGTTTGGTCCATTTGTGAAGCTGCATCTTCCCTTTCCGAACGTTGAACAGCCCGGACAGCTGGATCCGCTCCAGATGATCAATGCTGGAAGGTTTCCCTGAAACAAGCAAGGAGGGGAGAAAAGGACAATGAATCAATCAGAAATCACTCAGCACTCTACACTATCTGTACCCATAGGAGAAGAATTCAAGTCTATGCGCGTACTCATAAAAGACTACACACACTGTACTGTAAGACTGTACAGAGCTCTCGGCACAGGTTGTTCATATATCACAGAAATTATGCAATTGTCCACAAGAACTGTATCTACATTTGTTCATTCATATCGACCAACTTGAAGCTTACATTAAAAATAACAGGATGGCTCTGTGGCTCTGATACTTGAGAAAAAGCACAGTGGATGGTGGAACTTTAACATGGACAATGAAATTCCTGCTTACCATTACTCCTTGAAAATTATTATTTTTTAAATTGGTCACTCAATACATGACTGTTTGTGAGACGCTGCTGTGCGCAATTGGCTGCTGCATTTCGCCCAGAAAATATAGTCAATTCATTTTACAGTATATTCTGTGAAGCGCTTTGAGATGTTTCGAAGATGTGATAAAGCGCTATATCAAATGCAAGGATTATTATTGTTACCATTACATTTGGGTTTCAAATGCAAAAGAGGAGCAAAATATTTTTCCAAACATAGATTTCAGTACTTTACTCACACATTAAAATCCCTTGCCTCAAGTTCCTGAGCAGTCAGCTGCCGTGTCGTGCAAAACATTCCCAATGTTAACCTATGACCTGGGAGGACATCAATTCGTTCAGAACGTGCTGGCTACTACTTCAGGCACGTCAAGACTCGGTGTAGCTCAGATCATTTACAACTTTTCTTTACGCTCACAATTCTTGCTCGAGGTGCCCTTCCCTCCGGAGCTTGTACCTCAAAACCCTAAACTCTCATGTCTGGTTGTCACCCAGATAATCTAGCATTTGCTTTAGCTGTCTTGTTGCCTCTCCTTGGAAAACTGGTTAACATTGTGGCAGAAGTTTTTCCCAGGTATTATCGGAACTTCGTAACAATTAAAATTAAGAGGTTGCAGTTGAGAGACGTTGTTCAACGTACCTGTTTGTGCAGGTTTCTGTCTCAGCCCAGAGGGCCAATCTATTGTTCGAGTTCAGACAATAAGCATCTCAGCAGATTGTTCTACTGAATGAGGGGATCACAACAACAACTTGGATTTATATAGCACCGTCCCCGCCGGATGGCGTCTCAGAGCACTTAACCTGGCTAAGTCTGATCAACTCCCACACTGGGAACTAGACAGATACGTGGTTGGCAGGAGTAAACAGATCAGCTTCAGCTGTGAAAGATCTCCCTCGGACAGTAGAACAGTATGACTCTCTGGGGTAATCTGGCTAGGGTTACCAGAGGGGCAACTCTGAATCAATATCAGGGGGAGGGGGAGGAAAGAATACTGAGGACAGAGAGTGGTACTTCTCTTGTCTACAGTGCTTAGCTTCCTCATCCCCAACTGGTTTCCACTTCTGCACTGTTTATGCAGCCTCAGACATTAAATTAAGACTGATACACAGAGTCTGATGCACATAACAATTACACCAATAATAGCAGGTACCAGACCCATATATCCAAAACATCATCATATCTTTTTTAAATCTAGCTTTCCCCTTTTTTTTTCCTGTTTTTGCTCCTGGTCTGATCTCCTCTCCCGGGGTGTGGCTTCAGACACTGGTTGCCTTCCAATACTTTGCTCAAGTGGACACTGACAGATTGGTGAGTCCTGCCAGTGATGGCTGACCTCTCCCAAACCAGCTACCACACACGCGCACAACCAGTAGAGGGTGCTCTAGAGAGACTGGGAGTCAGAGTCCTTGCTGGACTCCTTCACCCTGGGAAGACTGTGGTCAATTTGACCTTCCCAGTCAACCCTGGCTGACACCAAACTTAGCACTAACTGGGATACAAACCAGCGAGTTTCTATAACTTATATAACTTCAACAATAATAACTTATTATTATAGTATTACTTGCATTTGTATAATATTAATCCTTGCATTTGATATAGCACCTTATCACGCCGTTGAGACGTCTTAAAGCGTTTCACAGAATATACTGTAAAGTGAATTGACTGTATATTTTGTGGGAGAAATGCGGCAGCCAATTGCACACAAACAGTCGTGAGTTGAGTGACCAATTTATTATTTTTTGGGGGGGAAAATGAATCATCACCCTCAGCAAAGCAGTCCCCCAATCGACTAACAACCGGGTTCTTACTCACTACTAGGTAAATAGAGGCATGTGGAGTAAAGAAACTTGCCCAACGTTTTGCCCTGCTAGGAATCAAACCCAGGTCTCTCGCCTGTCAGGCCGAGGACTCTAACCACTGAGGTACAGGACTCCACAATATAGCGCCCCTCATGCAGGGTAGCATCTCAGATTGCTTACTTCTACTCCTATCATAATTTTTTTTTTGGGGGGAAGAGAAGAAAACCAGCAATTTGGAGCCCTGCTGTGATAAAAATCACAGACAAAACTGCCACTGTAAAATTTGTCTTCTCACTTGTTTTTGGTAGAGTGCTCTAACCACTAAGCTTCAGGATTCCGTATACTACGCTCCAGTTACACACCACCTCAGCTGTCTGATAATAATAATAATCCATACATTTGATATAGCGCCTTATTGTGTTGTTGAGACATCTCAAACTGCTTCCTGGATATACTGTAAATCAGCGTGACTGTGTGCTCACACACATTCCCCGGTCGATCGAGTTTCATACTTTGTATTTTTTCTCTCTCCAATGAATAAAAGCCGAAGGATCAAACCTCTGTCAAAGATTCTCTGACCTGCAGTGCATTCCCCTCCAGATGCCACATAAACAGGAAGCCTGGAGTGTTTGAACTTCGGAGTTTATCATACATGACGTGGGGGAGGGAGATATAGAAGATGCAAGAAGAATAAAAGACCATTGACATTAATGTTGTCTCATTTTCCCTTCTACTGTATTTGACTATCTCTGATAACCCTTTCCTCCCCAACTCCCTTTCAATCATTCCCATTGCGCTCCATGCCTCTCTGCTCCGCGTCTCCCATTGCGTGCTGCTCTGCTGACTGATACCATTTTCATGGAAAGATTCCTGGGAACAGTGCTAGGACATGGAATTGTCCCAATGCTTTGAAGCCTAATGCATTCTCAATGTGGAGCAGATCACCCCACATCCGATAGGCCTCCCACCCCCAAATAAACACACCTCACGCTCCCAGAGACACACACTTCACACTCCCACAGACACACACCTCACACTCCCACAGACACACACCTCACACCCCCACCGACACACACCTCCCACCCCCACGGACACACACCTCACACTCCCACAGACACACACCTCCCACCCCCACCGACACACACCTCCCACCCCCACGGACACACACCTCCCACTCCCACAGACACACACCTCACACCCCCACCGACACACACCTCCCACCCCCACGGACACACACCTCCCACCCCCACGGACACACACCTCCCACTCCCACAGACACACACCTCCCAGCCCCACAGACACACACCTCACACTGCCAGAGACGGTTTAAAAGATAATTAGGAGTCATCAAGACCCCAAGGTTCTGCACCAGCTCCTCGAGGTGGACTGTGCATCCATGTTGATCGATGCTGTCAGCACCTGAGGTGAGAAGACGCTGATGGGAGCCAAGCAGGAGAGCTTCGGTTTTTCCAATATTCAACTGTAGAAAGACAGCTCTCGTCCAGGATTTGATGTCTGACAGACAATCAGTCAGAACAGGTCCTGGAGTCGAGGGTGGAGGCAGAGAGGTAGAGTTGGGTGAAGAGACCCAACCCACTTTCTGGACTCTCAAATTAGATACTGGTGAACAACGCACAGATTCTCTTTGTAGAGCTCACACAAAGAATGAATTAGCACTGGGGCCAAGTATTGAGCTGGGAGGGACCATTCATGTGGAATTCTTCCCCAGTATCTCCGGGAATGAGAGGGAGAAAGAAAGACAATTGGAGCCAAAGGGGACTCCAAGAAGAAGGAAATGTGGTTTATTTAATTTCTTTTTGATGTGGTTTCCTGAACTGGATAATGTTGACGTACTGCTTTTCTTTACTCTATAATTGGCTTCACATTGGCTTCACATTAAAACAATAAAGATTTCATCTGCACATCTCATCTTAATCGTTTCCAACGCAGCAAGCTCTAAAGATAATGCCCTCCTCTGCTCCTTCCCCACTTTACTGCTACACTTACAGAAGAGGACCCATTTGGGCACCATTGCTATGTGTTTTTCTGAACCCATATAGAAACTTAGAAATGAAGCACTTTTCTGATCAGACAGCTGGCGGGGTTTTATACACAGAAACATACGATTTGACAGCTGGAGAAGTGGGAATCCTAAGCTTCTGCAAATGTAGTAGTTTCCAATCTTCACACTGCAAATGTGAAAACACCACTGGAGCTTTTAAACTTTTAGGTGGATCCACTTTTTTTGATCCATCTGCACTACAATTTGAGTGCCAGAGAGTCTCGTAATACAAGGACACAGCCGACTCACTTAGTGGGGCTTTATAGCTGTTTCGGAGCTGGTGACAGGATATATAATTCTATGTAAAATTCTAAGTTTCCCCACGTGTCAAATTCCTTAGATGTCCAAAACAAAACTGAACACATATACGTACATACAGACGTAGCAAAATTCCAGCACACTACACACTTCAGTGCTAACTCCACACAAACCCCTCAAGTTGTGAACTGACATCACATGCACTTGCTGTGCTCTTTACTCTCACTGAAATGCCTCAGGAAGTCTGTCAGAGGAAGCTTCCCCTGCTCCAGCATAAGGGGGAAACCACTCCGCTATTTCAAAATGGAGAAGTAATTTCCCCGCCAACAAATCATCAACGCATACAGGAGAATCATGGATCTGCAAATCGAGCAAAAGCAAACAGGAAACTCTGCTCAAAAGAGAACACTGGGACAAATAACATCCCAGAATCAAACCACAAGACACAAAACCTGCACTGTGCGCATTATCTGCGACACACAAAGTGCAAGCCGCTGTGA